AGCACCAAGAGCCATACGATACCTGGGAATAAACCTAACCAAAGAGGTAAAGGATCTGTACTTGAGGAAATACAGAACACTCATGAAGGAAATTGAAGAAGACACAAAAAGATGGAAGACCATTCCATGCTCTTGGATCTGAAGAAGAAACATTGTTAAAATGTCTATACTGCCTAGAGCAATCTATACTTTTAATGCTATTCCAATCAAACTCTCACCGGTGTTTTTCAAAGAGCTGAGGGAAATAATCCTAAAAATTGTATGGAATCAAAAGAGACCCTGAATCGCTAAGGAAATGTTGATGAAGAAAAACAAAACTGGGGTCATCACATTACCTGATTTCAAGCTTTACTACAAAGCTGTGATCACCAAGACAGCATGGTACTGGCATAAAAAAAGACACATAGACCAGTGGAACAGAGTAGAGAGCCCAGATATGGACCCTCAACTCTGTGGTCAAATAATCTTCGACAAAGCAGGAAAAAATATCCAGTGGAAAAAAGACAGTCTCTTCAATAAATGGTGCTGGGAAAACTGGGCAGCTATATGTAGAAGAATGAAACTTGACCATTCTCTTACACTGTACACAAAGATAAACTCGAAATGGATAAAAGACCTCAACGTGAGACAGGAATCCATCAGAATCCTAGAGGAGAACATAGGCAGTAATCTCTTCGATATCAGCCACAGCAACTTCTTTCAAGATATGTCTCCAAAGGCAAAGGAAACCAAAGCGAAAATGAACTTTTGGGACTTCATCAAGATCAAAAGCTTCTGCAAACCAAAGGAAACAGTCAACAAAATGAAAAGGCAACCCACAGAATGGGAGAAGATATATGCAAATGACAGTACAGACAAAAGGTTGATATCCAGGATCTATAAAGAACTCCTCAAACTGAACACACATAAAACATATAATCATATCAAAAAATGAGCAGAAGACATGAACAGACACTTCTCCAATGGAGACATACATATGGCTGTCAGACACATGAAAACATGTTCATCATCACTAGCCATCAGGGAGATTCAAATTAAAACCACATTGAGATACCTACTTACACCAGTTAGAATGGTCAAAATTAGCAAGACAGGAAACAACATGTGTTGGAGGGGATGTGGAGAAAGGGGAACCCTCTTACACTGTTGGTGGGAATGGACGTTGGTTTAGCTACTTTGGAGAAAAGTGTTGAGATTCCTTAAGAAATTAAAAATAGAGCTGCCCTATGACCCTGCAATTGCACTACTGGGTATTTACCCCAAAGATAAGGATGTAGTGAAAAGAAGGGCCATCTGCACCCCAATGTTCATAGCAGCAATGGCCACGGTCGCCAAACTGTGGAAAGAACCAAGATGCCCTTCAACAGACAAATGGATAAAGAAAATGTGGTCCATATACACTATGGAGTATTATGCCTCCATCAGCAGGGATGAATACCCAACTTTTGTATCAACATGGATGGGACTAGAAGAGATTATGCTGAGTGAAATAAGTCAAGCAGAGAGAATCAAGTATCATATGGTTTTGCTTATTTGTAGGGCATATCAAATAACACGGAGGGCATGGGTAGATGGAGAGGAGAAGGGAGTTGAGGGAAATTGGAGGGGGAGTTGAACCATGTGAGATATGGACTCTGAAAAACAATCTGAGGGTTTTGAAGGGGTGGGGGGTGGGAGGGTGGGCGAGCCTGGTGGTGGGTATTATGGAGGGCACATATTGCATGGAGCACTGGTTGTGGTGCATAAACAATGAATTCTGTTATACTGAAAATTAATTAAATAAAAATACTAAAAAAAAAAAAAAAAGAAAGAAAGAAAGAAAACCCAAAGGACCACCAAAGAACTGTGAGAATTAATCAAAAGATTCAGGAAGGTTTTAGTATGCAAAATCAACATACAAAAATCATTTGTGTTTCTCTATACTAACAATAAAATATCTGAAAAAATAAAGAAAATAATTCTGTTCACAATAGCATAAAAACAATACAATACTTAAGAATAAATTCAGCCAGGGGCACCTGGGTGACTCAGTTGGTTAAGCATCTGCCTTTGGCTTGGGTCATGATCTCCAGGTCCTGGAATAGAGCCTTGCATCAGGCTTCCTGCTCAGCAGGGAGTCTCTCTCTCTCTCTATTTCTCTCTCTCTCTCTCTCTCTCCCACTAACCTTCCCCCAACTCATGTTTTCTCTTTGTCTCAAACAAGTAAATAAAGTCTTTTAAAAAAAGAGTAAATTCAACCAAAGAGGTAAATATCTGTACACTGAAAACTACTAGACTCATAAATGAAATTGAAAAAGACACAAAAAATAAGATGTTCTATGTTCATGTATTGGGAAAATTAATATTCTTTTTTAATGTAATCTTTATGTCCAGTTTGGGCCTTGATCTCATGACCCTGAGATCAAGAGTCGCCTTCTTTACTGACTGAGCCTGGCAGACACCCCAGGAAAATTAATAATGTTTAAAGTGTCCATGGGTGCCTGGGTGGTTCAGTTGGTTAAGAACCCAACTCTTGATTTCAGCTCAGGTCATGATCTCAGGGTCATGAAATCAGGCCCTGTGTTAAGCTCTGCCCTGGTCATAGAACCTGTTTAAGATTTTTTCTCTCATGGGTGCCTGGGTGGCTCAGTTGGTTAAGCGACTGCCTTCAACACAGGTCATGATCCCAGGGTCCTGGGATTGAGCCCAGCATCAGGCTCCCTGCTCTGTGAGGAGCCTGCTTCTCCTTCTCCCTATGCTTCCCTGCCTGCTTATTCTCTCTTTCTCTCTCTCTCTCTGTCAAATAAATAGAATCTTAAAAAAAGAAAAAAAAAGATTCTTTCTCTCTCTGCCTCTTCCCCGACTTTCCCTCTCAAATTAATAAAATAAATCTTTAAAAAATTAAAAGTAAAAATAAAGTGTCCATACTACTTAAAGCCATCTATAAATTTAATGTAATCCCTATCAAAATTCCAATGACATTTTCACAGAAATGAAAAAAATAATTCTAAAATTTGTATGGAACCACAAATGACTCTGAATACCCAAAACAATTTTAGAAAGAACAAGGTTAGAGGCATCACATTTCCTGATTCCATACTTTATTACAAAGCTATAGTAATTGAAACAGTATGGTATTGGCATTAAAAACATACACAAAGACCACTGGAACAGAATAGACAGCCTTCAAATTAACCTTCATATACAGAGTCAACTAATACTTGATAAAGGAACCAACTAATAATTAACAAAGGAGTCAATATTTGACTCAGTGGAGAAAGGATAGTTTCTTCAATAAATGATGTTGGAGAGAGTGGTGAGTGGTTAACCACATACAGAAGAAGAATTATGTGTCATCATAAACCATCCATGAAAATTAATTCACAATATATTAAAGATTTGAACATAAGACCTGAAACTGTAAAACTCCTGGAAAACAACAGAGAAAAAGTCCTTTGACATTGTCTTGGCAACAATTTTTCTGGATATGACAATAAAAACACAAGTAACAATAGCTAAAATATTGGATGTCATTCTTTATCTTGTATATGTGAATAATAGAAAGTAACTGCAAATTTAGAGTGAGATGATGTACATGTATTTTAAGTAGAAAATGATAATAAATAGGCTTCTAATTTACTGACTTTTTATACAACTCTTTTTGAAAAATAAAACATATCTACAGTACAAAACCAAATAATGTAAATAGTATTTTTCCTCCCCAGCAACCCAATTCCCTTGGTAATAAAATGGCAGTCTGTTTTTTTTCTTCCATTCCTTCTTTCCCCTAGTTTTATTAGATGCATCCAAACATACAAACAAAAGAATTTTTCTGAAATGCTATTGTTTTTTACCTAGATTCCTACCATTTTCTGGTAAATGGTCTTTTCCTCATAACGTTCTGCTCCAGTCACTTTAAATATAAAGAATGAGAGCTATCTGGGTGGCTCAGTCATTAAGCATCTGCCTTTGGCTCAGGTCATGATACCAAGGTCTTGGGATTTAGATTGAACCCAGCATGGGGCTCCCTGCTCAGGGACGAAGCCTGCTTCGCTCTCTCTGTCTCTCTGTGTCAAATAAATAAGCCAAATCTTAAAAATAAATAAACAAACAAATAAATAAGTAAATAAATAAAGAATGAATTTTTAGTTTGAAACCCATACCCTTAGTGATTCAATCCCTACCCACCCTTCTACTCTCATATCCTGCCACATATAATTTGTGCACCATCCATTCATATTTACTTACACCCATCCACCTATATTTACTTGTATTTCTTCAAAACTTATATTGTGATTGTTCATTTCTGTAGACTTTTTATTTCTTTTCAGCATAACATTATTCATTGTTTTTGCACCACACCCAGTGCTCCTTGCAATATGGGCCCTCCTTAATACCCACCACCTGGCTCCCCCAACCTCCCACCCCCCGCCCCTTCAAAACCCTCAGGCTGTTTTTCAGAGTCCATAGTCTCTCATGGTTCACCTCCCCTCCCAATTTCCCTCAACTCCCTTCTCCTCTCCATCTCCCCATGTCCTCCTATTTCTGTAGACTTTTATATATTATATTCCTCTTAATATATGTTTTCCTTCTTTGTCTAGGTCAAAGCTACTCTTTATCAAAACTTACCTTAAAAGATAAGAGTTACTTCCTAATTCATTCATTGTTTTTCCCATACCACACTTAGAAACCTGCAGACTTGTTAACTCCTCCCAATCACAACTCTGGTCAAACCAGTGTATGTTTTTAAGTTTTTAATTCCAGTTAGTTAATATACAGTGTAATTCAACACCTGGTGCTCATCACAACAACTGCATTCCTGAATCCCCATCATCTAATTCACCCATCCCTCCACCCACCTCCCCTCTGTTAACCGTAAGTTTGTTATCTATAGTTAAGATTCTGTTTCTTGGTTTCTCTCTCTCTTTCTCATTGTTTCCACTTATTTGTTGTGTTTCTTAAATTCTGCATATGTGTGAAATCATATGGCATTTATCTTCCTCTGACTGACTTATTTCTCCAAAAGTACATGTTTCATGAATTTGCATGTCATCCTTGCACAGGAGCCATGCTAATCTTCTATGTGTCATTCCATCTTTAGGATATGTGCTTCTGAAGTGAGCACAAACAGGAGTGTTTTTTTGTTTGTTTGTTTGTTTTTTAGATTTCATTTATTTATTTGACAGACAGAGAGATCACAAGTAAGCAGAGAGGCAGGCATAGAGAGAGGCCGATGCAGGCCTTTTCCTATACCACACTGGAAACTTGCAGACTTGTTAACTCCTATGCTGAGCAGAGAGCCTGGTGCAGGCCTCAATTCCAGGACCCTGAGATCAGGAGCTGAGCCAAAGGCAGAGGCTTAACCCACTGAGCCACCCAGGCACCCCGAACTAGTAAATTTTTTAAAGTCTGATGGTTGGGGCACCTGGGCAACTCAATCAGTAATGCATCTGACTCTTGATCTCAGTTCAAGTCTTGATCTCAAGGTCATTGAATTCAAGCCCCACATTGGGACCTATATAAAAATTATAAATAAAGTCTGATGGTTATATAATCCCATTGTCTCACCAATGAAGCTCTAAGAATGAAACTAATGACTGAGAAATGGAAGATGCTCACTCTCCTCATGCTTTTATAATGAATTGCTTAAATTGCCTGTTGCTTAGATTAATTTCTTATTCTTTTCATTATTCCAAAGGGTTTGGCCTACTCAAAAGAAAATAAGAAATCAACAATAAGTTCAACAATTATTAATATTTCACAGTTGAGAAAATTGAACACAGAGGTTACAGAGTTAGTAGGTGACAGAACCAAAATTTTACCTCTAGGAGGACGACTCAAAAAAACATACTCTAAACCATTATAAAATACTGACTTTTACCAAAGAAAAATAGACAATACACAAGTATTACACTGGAAGTGATCATTAAATTTTATAGTTTCTAAGCTAGGTAGTGCTAAAATACCTTACATTTTAGCAAATATTTAAAAAAAATTTTGACCATCTATTAAATATGAGCTTGTTTAATGCTAATTTAAACCAAATACATTTAAAGTTTGGACTAGTCTTTTTCTAAAAACAGAAATTCTGAAAACAAATGAAAAAGAAAACTTTCAAAGGTCCATGAAATAAACACTGACTCTGATATCATATACTGTCTAAAACCAGGCTTCTCCACTTACTGACTTTGTGGCATTGAATGTGTACATTGGCCTTTCCAAGCTACTCTAAAATAGTAATTGTAATAGTGCCTATTCTTTTCAGTATTATGTATATGAGAAAGTACCTAGCACCACAATTATTGACCATTGTCAATTCCTTCCTTTAAATGTATGCTTTAGGTGGCATTCTCTACCTACTTAAAGTGGCTTCAGCATTTTGTTATGAGTTATTTTGATGCATAAAAATGCATATCATTGGGACACCTGGGTGGCTTAGGCATTAAGCCTCTGCCTTCAGCTCTGGTCATGATCCCAGGGTCCTGGGATCGAGCCCCACATCAGGCTCCCTGGTCGGTGGGAAGCCTGCTTCTCCCTCTCCCTCTGCTTTTCCCATGCTTGTGTTCCTTCTCTCGCTGTGTCTCTCTCTGTCAAATAAATTAATTAATTTTTAAAAATGCTTGTCATTTACAAATTATCACTCTGGTATTTGACAAATGGTTAAGTGAACTTTCAATATTACTTAGCCCATATATGTTCTATATACATGGAAAAGAAATTCCATGACATTAAAACAAAGTATTGAAAAATTTCATAGTCACTTCAACAGAATTTTACATGATATCAAAAGAAAGGAAGAGAAAGAAATCATGCTCATTCTTTTTATTTTCATTCAGTTCTCTGCATTAACATCCACTTGTTGCAGCTCCAGAAACTAGCTTGAAGAATATAAATGCTGCTGATTAGATAGTTTTTGGTCTGAAAATTTTACAAATAAAGGCGGGAGATTGAGTGAAATTAGAGTGCAAATAATTTAAGAAAAGAAAGTTGTCACTATACCCAGATATCATGAGTTTTTTAAGAGAAATTATGATGTTTCCTTCTTTTTAACTTCTGTTAGTTTAGATTTTTACTGAAAGTGCATAAGAACTATTTTCTAATCACTCTCTGACTAATGCCAAAGAATCAATAAGCTAGACATTTGCAGCAAAAATAAATGATTATATCACTTATCTTACTGTATCAGGGGCTGAAGATTAAAAACAAACATATACACACATTGGCAACTTTGGAATCACCTTTAGATGCTTAAACATCCCAGACAAAACATACATTATGAACACAGATGGACTTTATGTGTAGTTTATCATTACATAGATAAACTAATACAAAGAAGTATACAATGAGCTGGATATATGAATATTATTCTATTATGAGAATATTGTGTTCTAACCTTAATGATTAGCAATCGTTGGCAGAAAAGATTCCATAAAGACCAACACTTTAAATAGTCAAAGATCATAGTATTGACTATATATTTCAGCTTTTCAGAAAAAAAAAATCTCTAGAAGCTTATTCCTTTTTAAATGAAGCAAGATGACTTTGATTCTTATGACTGAATGGGCCAAATTAGGAGTCTTTGGACAATACATTAGGAACAAACAGCTTTGGTTGCAAGAGAAGATCTAAATTACACTGTGCCATAAAGGAGTCAACTTTTCTCAAATAACAAGACACTATATATATATGTGTATATGTATATACACATATATACACACATATATATTTATATCTATATATAAATAATTATAATATTTATATTTTATATTACTTATATTTTATATTATTTATTTATATTTTATAATATTTATATATAAATAATCCTATATATATATATATATATATATATATATATATTTCCTGTTGGAACTTATTCACTGACTCAACATAGGCAAGTTGCATTTCTATGATTCTGTTGTCCTTTCCCACAAGATTGCAGGTTGCCATATTTCCAGGCATCCCATTTATATCCTAATCCTTCTAAATGCCTGTTTTGCCAGAACTCATTACTTGACACTTTGCTACAAATGAGATTGAATTTAAAAGTATTTAGATTTTACCTCTTATAAACTGGAGGTGAGTAGGGTAAAGGTTTAGGAAATGGGCAATAGTGTTAGCTGACCTATAGTTTCAACCACAGAAGTAAAGCTTTTTAATGGAGCTCTATACAGCTAAAATGAAATCATGTTGTATTGGACCTATTTTTTAATATAACACTATGTTTCCAGTATACACTATTAACACTATGGATAATAGAGAATATGTTCACACATTAAATAACTCAGATACATGTTAAGGGAAATATTGTTTTAGAACATTTGCTTCATTCACCATGGCATTTATTTCTGTTCTTCTGTTTAAACTGAGTTTCAAACAACAGTATGAGGTGCTTTAAATATAATCACTTTATGGATAGAGGAAGTGTCATGTTTTTCATTAGTAAATCCCTTAGAATTGCTGGAATGTTAGTATTATTTCAATTATAATTGATAAATCACATGGAACCTCTGAATGGGACAGATTGTTGAAGTTTCAGTAAATTTCTTTTTTAATTTAAATTTAATTTTTTTTGTTACACATAATTTCTATTTATTTATTTATTTGTTTGTTTGTTTATTTATTTATTTTTAATTTTCAGCATAACAGTATTCATTGTTTTTGCACCACACCCAGTGCTCCATGCAATCCGTGCCCTCTCTAATACCCACCACCTGGTTCCCCCAACCGCCCACCCCCCAGCTCTTCAAAACCCTCAGATTGTTTTTCAGAGTCCATAGTCTCTCATGGTTCACCTCCCCTTCCAATTTCCCCCAACTCCCTTCTCCTCTCTAACTCCCCTTGTCCTCCATGCTATTTGTTATGCTCCACAAATAAGTGAAACTATATGATAATTGACTCTCTCTGCTTGACTTATTTCACTCAGCATAATCTCTTTCAGTCCCATCCATGTTGATACAAAAGTTGGGTATTCATCCTTTCTGATGGAGGCATAATACTCCATAGTGTATATGGACCACATCTTCCTTATCCATTCGTCTGTTGAAGGGCATCTTGGTTCTTTCCACAGTTTGGCGATTGTGGCCATTGCTGCTATAAACATTGGGGTACAGATGGTTGTTCTTTTCACTACATCTGTATCTTTGGGGTAAATACCCAGTAGTGCAATTGCAGGGTCATAGGGAAGCTCTATTTTTAATTTCTTGAGGAATCTCCACACTGTTCTCCAAAGTGGCTGCACCAACTTGCATTCCCACCAACAGTGTAAGAGGGTTCCCCTTTCTCCACATCCCCTCCAACACAGGTTGTTTCCTGTCTTGCTAATTTTGGCCATTCTAACTGGTGTAAGGTGATATCTCAATGTGGTTTTAATTTGAATCTCCCTGATGGCTAGTGATGATGAACATTTTTTCATGTGTCTGAAAGCTTCTGCACAGCAAAGGAAACAGTCAAGAAAACAAAGAGGCAACCCACGGAATGGGAGAAGATATTTGCAAATGACAGTACAGACAAAAGGTTGATATCCAGGATCTATAAAGAACTCCTCAAACTCAGCACACACAAAACAGATAATCATATCAAAAAATGGGCAGAAGATATGAACAGACACTTCTCCAATGAAGACATACAAATGGCTATCAGACACATAAATTTAATATTTTATAAGTAATCTCTACACCCAACATGGGACTCAAAATCATGACCCTGAGATGAAGGGTCACGTGCTCTACTGACTGAGACAGCCAGGCACCTCAGTTTCAGTAAATTCTTTTTTGTTTGTTTGTTTATTTGTTTCAGTAAATTCTTAATAAAAACTCAAACAGATGAAAACAGATTTTTTTTTAGGTTGAAATTTTATTTATTCCATTAGTTTATTGTGTTTTTTAACAGGTGTTTTCTTTTTTTCTGTCTGCATCTGATCATGTTCATTTCTTATCTTTCTTTTATATATTATTCTTTTTTAATTTTTTTATTATGTTGTTATTCACCATACAGTACCTCATTAATTTTTGATGTAGTATTCCATGATTCATTGTTTGTGTATAACACCCAGTGTTTCATGCAATATGTGCCCTCCTTAATAACCATCACTGGGCTAACCCTTCTCCTCAAACCCATCCCCTCTAA